CCCCCCCCCCCCCCCTGGAGAGGCTGCTCCCTCCTTCCACTCTGTCGTCAGCTAGTGCAAATCGCGGATAACCATCTCCCCCGTTCTTCGGATATTATAAGACCGAATTCTTTCTAATTCCCCACCTGTCCTTTCTTTCCACCTTGTACACGTCTCGTAACGTTTCCTCTCCAACGATTTGCATGTCGGACTCGCCTGCTACGATCGAGAACGGAAAACGACGTGTCATGATTAACCGTGCAAAATCTGTCGGTCGGTAATTACCTCCTTTTTTCTGCGCTGCCTTTTGCCTTGTTCTTTTCCTCGATATTGTCATGCGTTTCGTTTCAAGAGTCGTACTAGGTGGTTCTTTGTGCGGAAAATCAATAAAGAACGGTATAATAACTATGTTGCTATTATTAGTAGTACATAAACATGAAGGAAACAAACGCGCGCATTACTTTTCATATCTTCGAGAATAACTAGGGTAGAAAACGCTTTACATCGAGTGTTCGTGAACTTTCAATTGGTCGTGAAAGAAGACTTACGCGAAGATAAAAGAAGCGATATACAGTTATAGTCTCTTTCGTCATTCGTACTTTGCTCTGTGAAGCTGCAGCTTTAAGTTTGACGGCATCCAGACAGACACCCTTGGCGAAAACGTATGCGAAATTTTGCACGATTCGTATCATCCCTCGCGACTCTCGTGCATTCTCGAGGATGAGAATCGACGGTAGATTGAAAGACGTATCGGTGCACGATTTGCAAGAGTAAGCGAAATCCTCGGGAAAGGCAGATGTCAGCGAGGCTGGATGAAAAGTGTCTACCATCGCGTCCTTTCCAGTTCGCATATCCTGCTCCTCTCGAGCTTGCTTTATCTTCGTCATCTCGAGGAGTCCCTAGTTGCACTTTCAAACCGTGTCGGGTATATAGCATACGGAACGAAACGATATACAGATTCGAGTGGATTTCTCTAAATTGTGTAACGATTTGATTCTGTTATCAGGAAATTGCTGCCATCCTGATCAGTTTCCAAAGACACGCGGAATGGCAAAGTCGGGAGGTAAAGGTACGACCTCGAAGTGGTTCGATGTTACTCTACTCGAGAAAGAAAGTTCGTTACCGGCGGGACGGTTATTGCTGGAAGAAACGGAAAGATGGCAAAACTACACGAGAGGATCACATGAAACTGAAGGTAAATTTTGATTTATGTACGAAAGCGATATATTTATTGTTGGTGGATCAACGCGTAGACGACACACGGTGAGATTCGTTTTTTCGATTCGATCGCAGGTCCAGGGAGTCGAGTGCATCTACGGCTGTTACGTGCACTCGGCGATCCTCCCGACGTTTCATCGGCGATGTTATTGGCTACTACAGAATCCAGACGTCGTCCTCGTTCACTACTTAAACGTTCCTTATCCGGACGGTGATGCAAAGCTAGCGGCGCTGCCACCGTGTCTCGCACTGCCGCCAGACAAGAAGGAGTGGACGCGAGACGAGCTGGCTTCCCAGCTTAGACCCATGTTCCTTGGTGGAGATGACGATCCTAACAATCCTCATCTTACACAACACGCGAATCATCCCGTTGACATGATAGTTTCTCAACTCTTGGACAGACAGAGAGCATCTTCCACTTCTTCTACCACCAGTACTCAGCTTGCACCTAGGAGACTAACACCGGACAATCAGGTATGTGGACACGAATGCCGAACGCCTGTTCGCGTAATATTCGTGTCTAATATTCGTGTGAATGGTCAGGTTTCTTCGACTACCGGAGGTCAGCAATCGTCAACAACAGCCTCACCGGCACCCCGCGTATACTCAAGACATTCCCACACGACTCAAAGCCAACAGCCGGCTCCTCTAGTTTTAAGTTTGCAACAAATTCAAGGTGGTGGCGGTCTTCTGATACTTAACAGCCAACCGTATCATCATCAACAACAGCAGCAGCAGCAGCAACAGCAGCAGCAGCAACAACAACAGCAGCAACAGCAGCAGCAACAACAGCAGCAGCAGCAGCAACAACAGCAGCAGCAGCAACAACAGCAACAGCAGCAGCAGCAGCAGCAAAGTCAACAAGTGGAAATGCAACAGGTTACGGAGCAACAAATTGTGCAACAGACAAGCGTGGATAGAGAACAACAGACCCAGCAGGAAATAGACGCCCAAGAAAGTATGGATCGTTCTACGGTACAATCGCTGCCAATCGGTGGCGCTGGTCCCGAGGTCACCGATTTCGCCGAGACCTTGGACCTAAGTCAAGAGGACATTCAGCGAACGTTATCCGCGAATATGGTACCACCATCTCCGTCGCCTTCTCCGGCAGATAACAGTATGATCAATCCAATGGATTTCATCGATTCGTCGGACGACGTTTTGGTGAATTTGGACGCGTTTGACGTGTTCGGCGATTTGCCAGAGCTTCACGATTTTGAGGCTGAACAGGTTAAGGCTGAAGACAGAGGTGGATCCGATAGCGACGTGGGATGTCATCCTGGAACAACCGTCCATATTGCGGAGTATAGTCCAGAGTGGAGTTACACCGAAGGTGGTGTGAAGGTGAGTCTATGTTTGGTATTAATTGGGTACAGACGACGGCAGCAAACGTGTTCGCTGCAATTCAGATCGAAGAAGCAGCAAAGATTGCATTCTCGTTTCAGGTATTGGTCGCTGGTCCTTGGACCGGTGGAAGTAATTCTCAATCTTATTCGGTGTTATTCGATGCCGAACCGGTCGAAGCGTGTTTGGTACAACCAGGAGTGTTGCGGTGTCGTTGCCCAGCTCATGCTCCGGGAATAGCGTCCCTTCAGGTCGCGTGTGACGGTTTCGTTGTTTCCGATAGCGTTGCTTTCGAATATCGTCGGGCACCAACAACCGAGCCAAGTCCGGAACGAGCTCTTTTGGATCGTTTGGCGGACGTAGAGTCTCGTTTGCAAGGACCTGGTCCTCCATCTCCTGCAGCTCATCTGGAAGAGCGATTAGTGGCATACTGTCAAGTCAGTAACCCGTCTCATTTCCTCCTACAAACTTGTGTGCTTGATTCTCTGTCTGATTGGCTGCGATTACACGTGTTTCAGGATGCTGTTGTCCGTCCGTGGCGAGCCGGAGCGGAACCATTACAGTCCGGCGGCCCTACTCTCTTACATTTGGCCGCCGGATTGGGCTACTCCAGGTTAGCCTGCGCTCTTCTCCATTGGAGAGCGGAAAATCCTAGTAGCGTGTTAGATGCCGAAGTTGATGCCCTGAGGCAGGATAGCGCCGGTCTTACGCCACTTGCTTGGGCTTGTGCAGCGGGACACGCGGATACTGCCAGGATCCTCTACAGGTTTGTATATCTTTCTTTTTAGCCTTTCAAGTTCTGCCACCGTTCCATTTCGTTCGTTGGCGTTCGTCTTGCGAATATCCGTCTGTCTGCACAGATGGAACGCAATGGCGCTTCGCGTGAGGGATTGTCAGAACAGAACAGCGACCGAGTTAGCGGCAGAGAACGGTCACACGGCGATCGCAGAAGAATTGAATCGACTCGAAGCGAGAAGACAAGATGAGAGGCTTTTCTTGCGACCCGCCAGCCCTAGTCCTAGGAGGCCATCTCAAGACAGCGGTCTCGATCTGGCGTTGTGTTAGTCTCGTTTGCTATTATACTGCCCTCTTCCGTATATACACGCACATACATTCACGTCCAACACGTAAATCACAGTTCCTTATCCTATAATGACCCGCGCCATAAAAATCTCCCCCGTAAGATTTAGAGTACAAGGTCGTAAGTCATGCGAGCGTAAAATTAATCAGGAAACGTAGCATTAAGGGGTTTATCGAAAAACACAGGTGGCTCGCCGCTGCTGGACAACATGGAATTGTTGCAAGAGGATGACTCGTCATTAGCCCTCAGCGAGCAGGGAATGGAAAGCGCTCCGACCCCTCAGGAGACTGTAGGTCCGTACCTTCCTCGTTTCCCCTTCTATTTGTCTGTCTGTCTGCCTGTCTATCTGTAACTATATATATATACATATATATATTCGTAACTCTGTCTGTTTTCTAATACTACACTTATAGATTCATCGGCCTAGATAAACAAGTACTGCGCGGGCTGTGATCCGTAGTATTCCTAGCTAAAACTGCGTCCCATTACTCTCTTTCTCTCTCTGTCTCTATTTTTCACACATTACATACACACACATACACACACAGTGTTCTTTTTTTCTGTCTCTCTGTCTATGCGTACGAGACGACCGGATATGGTCCAAGCTCGCTGTCCTCTAACTCCTCTGAACTCTTGCAGCTTAAAGCAGTATTGGTGTTGCTTGGCCTTCGTAACTGCTGGTGTTGGATGATTGCTGTGTAACGTCTAAAACTTTCTTAGCCGTCTATTATCGGCTGTCGACCAGTTCTTCGACAAATAGACAGTCTCGTCTCTGGGCTATGCCGACGAGTATTAAAGCGGATATCCGTGAAAAAAAAAATAATAATAATAATAATAATAACATACATGTACAAATTGGAAGCTATGAGACAATTTACACGAGAACACGTGATCTGTACAGCTGATTAAATCCGGAAACACACACTGTCGAATACCACGGGGTGCGTCAGATCACCCGTAGAGCAGAACTTTCAACAAGCTGAGAAAAATGTCTACGCTCGCCATCTGATTTGACTGTTTGAAGACGTTCGATTCGTGTCGTGTAAAAATCTCCGCAGCATAAACGAAATAATCCGCAATTTTTGGTGTCACACGTTTTATTAACGTCCGATTTGGTTCATCGTAAAATACGTTCACGGCTTAAAAAAAAAAAAAAAAAAGCAAAACAAAAACCTCGATGTTGTGATCAATGTGATTTCGGCGGTCCTATATAATACGTTTTTCGAGTTTGGCTAGGGTGGTGATTCCTTTTTATAGGGGAAGAAGACGCGAGGGTGCTGACATTGGCTGAGCAAATTATAGCAGCGCTACCGGAAAGGATCAAGAGAGCGGAAGGTGATTCTCCGTCTTCTTCCTCGCCACCTCCACCGGCACCGCCCTTGTCATCTCTGGAAGATGCCCTGATGGAACAAATGGTACGTATGCTTCTCTGAATATCGCTTAAACAACATTCTCCCGACCTATTCTCGTGCCTGTGAAATTCACATCTCGCGGTGATGTTAATTCTTCCAGCCGCTCGATTCTGGAGAACTGTTCGACTCGTATCGTGACTGCAATGGAGGAGCGGCATCAGTCTCGGATGCTGACGCAGATGCTAGTCCTTCGAGTCCATCCAGCAGTTGCCTCACGCCGGACTCGCCATCTCCACCGCCTACGACAGCCGACTTCTGCGAATTCTTACAGCTGCAGTTGCAACTTGACGGCAATAACGGTCATAATGGCCAGTACTATTCGACCGGCGGGGATCGGAAGTTCGGTAACGTGATGAGCTCTGGAATTTGCAGTACTGTGACAGGTGGAGGTAACGGAAACGGTGACGGGAACGAAGCTGATTTGAGTAGGCTCACTCTGTCCGATCGGGAACAAAGAGAGCTTTATCACGCTGCTAGAATGATCCAGAAAGCCTACAGAAATTACAAGGGACGTCAGAGGCAGGAGGAAGCTGAGAGACACGCTGCTGTACTCATCCAACAATATTATCGTCGACATAAACAGTACGCTTATTTTAGGTAATCTGTTTTTAGCTTAACACGTCGCGGCCGTATTATTTACTCTTCGTTTTCTCTTCTCGATTTATCCAGACGGACGGGTTTCAGTTTCGTCGTTCTACCACGGGGCACGGAATCGAAAATAACAATGGCAACGATAATATTAATAACAATAATCGGGTATACGGGGGATCTTGTCGCGGCGAAACTTCCCGTCGACTTATTCGGACCGTTTAATTCTCGTTGGTATTTCGCGAGTTGGAATGTTAGTTTTAATAAGCGGCAATTAATAAAAGGAGGGTGGCGGGAGGGGGTAGGGGGAGTAGAAGACAGGGCGTACCATTGTGGGTCCAATTTAACGATCCAGTTGAATCGGACGGATTTCACCAAAGTTCATTCTATCTATCTCCCGGGGGGATAGAGTAGGGGATGAACTTTTAATTGGCATCGTAAATAATTCGAAAACTTTAGGAACTTCCTTACCTCTGCCGCGGTGTTCCGAATACAAAATTAACCTGGCATTAAATTAATACGACTTTTGTTTGAGATGAAAGCTTACCCATTCCGCTGCTTTCGCTCTTGCCCATAATGTATATACATAGCGCATTCCCAGAGCGTGTCTCTGCAAGTTCTTATTTCACGGTGGTCTAATTGTCCCGTTCACAGACAAGCTACGAAGGCTGCTCTGGTGATACAAAGTAACTACAGGAATTATCGTTCGCGTCCAGGCTCGGCTAGCTCCAGACAACAGGCGGTTCATCAGCAGGCTGCTCATCAGGCTGCGCGAAAAATCCAACAGTTCATGCGACAGTCGAAAATCAAGTTAGTATCCGTCGGTGCACATAATTGCATTTCCTGTTGCAACGATGTGCACGCATTATTAGTTATGTAGACTTCTTGTTAGCACACGAAAGGCTTATCGTACGAAAGACATCTAAAGTTCTAAAGTCTCCCTCTTCTGTGTGTACTAATGCAGCTTGTCGTGGGACGATTCACGACCGGTAAGTAACGAAAACAAGTAGGGCGATTGTCGCGCGGCAAACACTGCTCGTTTATCGCTCCTGTATCTCTTTTAAAGGATACTCGCTCTTTCGCTTTCACCAGGACGATCAGTGCACCCTGTTTCACGACCCCCGAATAACGATCTATTGTTTCCGATACGAATTATCTTGATTAGCTTATGTGTTATTACGGAATGTAACCGGTGCTTTGTGTTTTCTGTTTTATATGTCTTAAACGTGTTTTTAACGGAAGTAACCAGTCCATGCAACGGTCATCATAAACGGAGCTTCTCATAGAAAACGAGAAGATATTGTCTTCAATTATCACTTTGCTTTCTCGGCGACCGGATAAAAGTGGAAAAGGAAAAGAAGGGGAAAAGATCAAAGCACCTTTTCACCGAATGACGCTAGTTTCCTTTATGTTTGGTACGAACGGTTGCTCAACCGTGAGACACGCCGAGTATCTGAATCGTGGAGCAAAGTGCTAATTGCAGTTTCATCGAGTTAGATGCGCTCGTTTGTCTCGTAGTTGACGTGTTTCTCAGAGTGCTTGATCATTCAGTGTCATGTATGCACATTCGCAGTAGGTTAGCAAAGTAAATTCGATCTACATGAACGAATACGTTTCTCGAATTAGGCTGCAGAACGCCAGGGCCGCCGCAAACGGGAACGGGAGACCGCCAGCGGGCATTTTACGGGCGGTTGCTGCCCCCCAAAGCTCGCCCTCATCTAGCCCAGGGGCCAGCCTAGTAGCCGCCAACCCAGAGGTCACTTAATCGACTGTCGATCGAACAACACACAGAACGGTGATGATACGTCGGAAGCAAAGTAACAGAGCCTATCCATCCAACAATGATCGTCACGGGGTACGCCACGATACGATATGGTCGAGGTTCGCGAAGGTTCCAGGAATTTTATCCAAGAAGCCATTGACGATCAACCGACACGGACACGCTTTGCTCTCTATATCCTTGATTATTCATGTACCTGCCTTTTCATCTAAAAATTTTTCCACCTTTCGCATCTTTGACCTACAGTTCAGCCGAAGGATCGTGCCACATCCTCACCTATCTTTACGTTCCGCTTCAGTTTATTCGACGCTGACGTTTATATCCATTTCCTGCATTTGTTTCCTTGGTCGACGTGACGCTAAGTGGTATCAGAGGTAGGTGGTCTATCATGGTCTCTCTAAATACGCGTACACACCTGTTGTACGCGTGCAAAGCGATCCAAGCATAATAGATGATGCATTAATTATTTAAGATCGTATTAAGGATCGAATCGATCGAAGCATGTTTGTAGAATTGCAATGTTGCCTTCCGCTTGAGGCATCGATTTATCGACTACTTTTTACGACTGAGAGTACAAAAGAGGCTATGTTTTGCTGAAACCTTTTTAAGAACGACTTATATTTGCATTGATTTTTTGGCACACTGTATAGATAGTTTTTACCTTCCCTCATTTTCTCATCCTTGCAAGTCTGGCACAGAACTTGAACGAGCCGTTCTCCAAGTTCATTTTTCGCGTTGCGTGTCCGTCGAAGTGTCTCACGCGACGATAGTAGCTCATACGTTGTTCGTTGTTCGTTTCCTTCTTTTCACTTTTCTTTTCTTTTCTTTTTTTTTTTTTTTTTTTTTTTACTTTACGTACGTAAGTTTACGTATGCAGTACAAGACTCGATGTAGACAACGACGGTGGAAGAACAGTATTGTTAAGACTCGTAGAAACGTCGTTGAAGAAGAATTTTTTTCTTCCTCTTTTTTTTCCTATCTTTCGTCTTTTTTGTACCATTTACATATTTCTCGATTTTAATTTATCTTTTTACGTATTAATCTCGGGGCGAGAGGAAAAAGAACGAAGAACGTGCCGAGTATTTATATTACTTTAAACGAGAACTAAAGACGCTCTATTTGCTTGCTTCTTAATCTTTAAGTATTTAACGTTTAAAAAATATGGAAAGCGATCGAAACACGACGCGTGAGTTTTTCTTTTTCTTTGTTCGTAGCTGTCGTATCGAACGCTTTTCCTTATTTATACCTCTCTCACCGTTATAGCTTTACGCGAAGTACGAACTCTTGAATCAAAGCGATTCGAATCTCGTGTAACTTGTTCATTTTCATTTTCTTTTTCTTTTCTTCTTCCTTTCTTCCTCCTTTCTTCCTCTTCTTTTTTTCTTCTCTTTTCTCTTTTCTCTTTTTTCTTTTCCTTTTCTTTTACGACCGAGCATGATGCGAATGTTTCATTGCCGTGATGATACGGTGCAATATTTGTTGTACGTGGAACGTTCAGGAGATATTTATACTTGCATAATTGAATTAGGTGGCAGCAATGATCTCTTCCTTGCACGATATAATATTTCTTTGTTGCTTTAAACGAGAAAGGCAATACAATTCAGGTCGATGAACGAGGAGTATCTTATTTTCGAAGAAATCTGGTATATCTGAGATCTAGGAAGAGAGAGAAAGAGAGCATGGACGAGTGCGCGTGTGAACAAAAGAAGGCTGCTAGAGAAAAAAAGAGCACTAGAGAGAAAGAGAGCGAGAGAGAGAGAGAAAGAGAGAGAGAGAGAGAGAGAGATAGAAAGAAAGAGAGAGAGAGTTTAATGAAAAAAGTAAAAAGTAAAAGTAACAAAAAAAAAAAAAGAAAAAAACGTAAAAAAATCAAGAGCCCTTTCTCCTTTTATACGGGGGGGCACTTCATCCACGGGCTGTGCTTAAAGTCACAGTATAATCAACTTCGTAGAATTATATTAGGGTAAGATAGTCGATTACATTGTTACAAACCTACCTACCGTTTCTCTCTCCAGTAGGGGATTTTTTTAAAGGTTCTTTAGATAAAAGAGGAAAAAAAAAAAATAGAGGTAAATTAAGGTGTAGCGAGGCGGAATATATATGCGCACGGGGGCACAGCCGTGGTACCCGCGTTCAAATTGATTTAAGAAGACAAAAATCTATTGTGATAAATTAATGGTGATCCAAGAAAGTATTTCCGCAGAAAATACTAAAGAAACAAAAAGTTACACAAAAAATCGAACGTCTCGACGTCCACTGGGGACACGAGTCGCCGAGACGAAAAAAGCAGACAGACAGACAGACAAATCCAGTATGGTGAGTCGAGATTTACGCCGTCAGATCTGTCGGGAAAATCTGTTGATAGAAGGACCGATTGATCCTCGTCTTCGATATATATATAAAAAAAAAAGTTAAAAAAAAAAGAAAAATCCTGTGTTGATCCTCCGGTGTTTAAGACAAGCTATGGGGTTTTTGTAGCGAGGTAATAATTGTGCGGAGCGCGAATGGGAAAGAGAGAGAGAAAAAAAAATGAATAATGATAAACTGTACACACGAGTCAATTCCAACGAGCATTTTCATGCCATTAAGCTTAAAGAATTATTAGTTAATAATGAAAACAGAAAAACAAAAAAAAAAAACAAAAAAATGATGAGAGGGAAGGATGCGAATGGAAGAAGAGGAAGAAAGAGAATAACAAATTCTTACACTCTTTTAATCATTGTTAATTAATTAATTAATCACGATCCTATCGATACTTAAAATGAGACGAGTAAAATAATAATTATTATTATATACACAAAACTATTATTATATTCATATTTTTGCTTATTACATATTTAAGAAACTATTAAACGAGGGCTAGCGAGTATAGTACATTACAAAACAAAAAAAAAAAACGATTAAAATGAGAAAAAAGGGGGAGCGTGGCCGATGACGAAATGGAAATCTCACCTTTCTAGGAATATTTTTAGTCTGTCGGGCTTGTACAACTTCGTGCGTGGCAATCAACTTTCGAATTTTACGATGAAAACTATTGACTTTTCGAAGAAGCAAAAAAGAAAAAGAAGAGAGAAATTAGAGCTCCGTTCACACGTCGAAATAAACGGGTTTTTTTCGAGAGTTTCCGAGGCAGTGGCCCGATCTTCAAACACGGCGGTTACGTCGCTTTTCCGACATTCGAGAACAAAAAGATAGAAAAAAGAAAGCGAAAAAGAAAACCAAAAAAAAAAATAAATAAATAAGTAAATAAGTAAATAAAAAATAAAATAAAATAAAATAAAATAAAGGAGAAGAGGAAGTAAAAAGTATAAAATATTTGCACACAGTATTTTCTCAGTCGCGATTAAGGAATGTTTCCCAAGATGGAAAAGTCGACGCCGCGGACAAAATATTTCAGAGTTCCCCATTATTAATCTAGAATCGCATTAAATTACCACGTACACCAAGATTATCGAGGCATGGAGAACAGCGGGATTAAAAATAAAAAAAATGAGAAAATGCTAAAAAATAATATTAATTAAAAGACATCGCTAGGGTAGGCGCTTCGAGGATACATAAACTTTAAAAGTCACTTAATAAAAATTATTCTCAAAATATAAAAGTTTAATAAGTAAAGAAATTTTTAAATCTACGTAAGAAAGCCAAGAGTCAAAGACGACTAGATGATAGGAGCCGCATGGCCTAACTGCTGCCACTTTAATTAATTAAATAATTAATTATAACTTTATTACTACTTAATTAAACTCGATACAGATGAGAAAATATGTCATGCCACTTTTCAAACTAAACTTTCTAGATGCAGAGACGAATCAGTAGGTATAGAGGACTATTAAAAAAACTTCTCTTCTAATTGGGAGTGATTGATTCGCGCTATAGATTCGAATATTTCCAATTGTCCAGTCTCCAGAAAATCGCACGAGATATATACGCGTGTAAGATGTCTCGTTATAAACCAGCACGACTGTACGTCTAAAATTGACACATTTGAAATTCAAGCAGAATGCGATTGTCCTCGAAGAAATGCAAATTCATTTATTCAACGAACGAAGAAACTGTCGGCGTCATTCGAGTTTATCGATCTATCGAGAGAAGGGGGTGAAAGAGAAAAAAGGAAAACGAAAACGAAAACGAAAAGGGGGGAAAAAAGGGAGAGAGGCGTTGTACGATTAACTTCACGGATAGAAAAGAAAAAAAGTTGTACAAAAAAAAATTTTGCAAAAAATATGTCCACACGTTTTTTACGAGATGCGACACCTTCGATCTTGATGTCATGTTGGTGTATCACGGGTCATCCTGTAGGACGTTTGTATCACGATGTCGAAAAGGTCGAAACGATCGGATATCGGTGCCTAGCTCATGTTCTACTCACTGTTCCTTGATTAAGACGGTCACTTTGTACCTGCTTGCTGCCTGCCTGGCCCGTGCGTTACATAAACATATTTCTAGTCTTATCGAGGTATCAACCCTCTGTATTTTACTCGATAATAACGTCCAAGCATGTCGCGTACTTTCGTTGTGATAATCCGACGGCGTTTCCGGCGTTTCGACGTCCTGCGCCGTCCATGCGGTTTTTCTACACGATATCGAGGAAGCGTAACGCCGATTAATTATTTGTTAAATCCCATTCGATTTCGCGAAGAGCGACTATCCCGGAAGGTTGATGGTTTCGACAGCTGTTTCGACATCTACATCCAGCCGACGTTATTCACGTTCGAAAATTCACGAAGCTGATTTTCTTGGATATTTCCCTGTCATCCGGTGAAACGAGTTTTTTTCCAAACCGATCGATTGCCGACACCTGGTCAATCCGCTTCCAAGGGCATCTGTCTGATCGCGTGAATTTTGGAACGGTGGCTGCAATAATTTAAACAAGTTCGTGCTACTTTTAGTGGAAACGAATATTGGTAAAGGCTCCATCTCTTGTAATATTTTTATTATCGCAAACGTAATATTACATTATTAAATTATATTAAATAAAGGATTACGCCACTGTTTATTATTTATTGACTAACGTTCAACTAATATTGTAAATAATAACGAAAATATTTTATCTATATTTCCGATCCGGGGGTTCCGGGCGGGGCAGCGTATTACCTCTTGTCCGCCCTTATAGCGATCCCATGATCGCCGTTCGCCCGCCCCCCTATTGTTACACCATTTCATCATTGCATTTAATAAATTATATATTTATTGACTCACTTACCTATTGACTTACCCCCGCTTATTTCTCTATTCTAGCTCTAGGCAATCGTCCAACACACGCTACCGAATCGTCCTAATTTCCACCAGTGGTTTTTTTACCTCCGACCTTGTGCCGATGGATTGAGAAAGAAGAGGTGAGATTTATTTCTTTTTTTTTCTTTTTTTCTTTTTTTCTTTTTTTTATTCATTCTTTTCGTCTCGACACTTTTCGATCGGGTAATATAATCGAACGCGGGTTCGGGGGTGCGTCGAAGCGAATAAAACGCGTGTCGTCCTTTTTTCATATCTTTTTTCTTTTCTTTTTTTTTTTTTTCTTTTTCGTTTCTCCTTTATTACTTCCGCAACAATTTATTTAAAGCATACAAACGGTACAAACTGTATTGTTGTCACTTCGAGTATAAATTAAATTAAGTTACGCGAGTATGACGTGCGTACGGGGAAGATGGTAGAATGAGAGAAAGGGGGTAAGACGAGAGAGAAGAACAGATAAACGATATTTTTGCTCTCTTTTTTCATTTTTTAAGCTGCAATCTGCAATTAACCGACGTCCAAGGGTATCTTTTCAGTTCCATTATCGATTCGTCTCGGTGAGATGCATAAACAGCGAAGGTAACTATGTTATATATAAACCTATGTATATACGTAGAATATATGTTACGAAATTTCCAACCAATCGTCCAGAATATCTTACGTTATTTAACATTTCTCATGAAAGGGCTTCCGAATGAAAAGATTAGCTCAGCACAAAACAGCTACATGTTAATTTCTAACGCAAGCAAGCGGTTATTAACGCGACGTCTCGCCCATCGTCGATTCGTGGAAACCCTTCTCCGTCGAAAGTTATTTCTCCTCCCAATTAGGCAGAAAAAGAAAACCAGAATCGAAAGCATCGCGAGAAATACTGCATCGATTTTCGTCGAAATGCGAGCCTCCTCTGAGATCGCTCGACGCGTTTGAGTTTGGTCGACGAATCACAGGAGAATAAGAGAGAATAAAACGAAACGAAGCGGAACGAAATCAGAACACTTGAACACGGTGATTCTCGCGATCGCAGACGACGATGTTACCGCCCGACGTGACAGCGACACCCTCTAGGCCCTTGAATTCACCGTCACCGCTACCCCATCCGCCAAAGCACTTGAGGAACGTCCCCTCAGGGCTGAATATCTGTATCCTGTTGTTGCCGGAGTCGGCGACGATGATGTAGCCTTGATCGTCCACAGCGACACCCCTTGGGAACTTGAACTGACCCTCGTCGGAGCCCTCGGATCCGAAGAAGGTCAGCACGCGGCCGTTCACGTCGAATATCTGGATACGATGATTGTTGCTGTCGCTCACGATCACGCGGTTCGTGTTGCTCACCGCGATGTAATGAGGATGTTCCAGCTGGCCACGTCCGCTTCCGCAGCTACCGAATTTGCCCACGAACGTGCCGTCCGATTGAAACACCTGCGAAAAGAGATTCGCTTGTAGCCGTTGCACCAGTCACGTAGTCGGGGACTGTGTTAGAGGGATTATTCGTTTTATATTGGAAATTTCGTTACGGTTTTTGGATTATTTTTTTTTCATTTCTTTTTTTCTCTTTTTTTTCTACATGACACGCCATCACAAGATACCTTGCACACATCGGTAACAGATAACCGACCCTTACGCAAACCTACGAAGTAATCCAAAAGGCAAAAGGGGTTGAAAATATGTCGATGGTACACGTGTGTGGTTCTGGCTGTCGTACAATCACTCCGTCCCTTGCTGACCGCCGTGCCTCGAGTAAGCACCTTTCCCTTCGTACTAACTCGAACCCTTATTTCTTTTTTTTTCTGTTTTTTTTTTTACGTCGGAACCCTCTCACGTTCCCGTTGCTGGACTCACGTTTCTCATATCGATGTTCGGGGATTTCAAACAGAGAATTACTCGAAATTAATTCTTTATTGCAGAAAAAGTTGAAGGCTTTTTATTCAGGATTAACTATACAAAGTCTAGGTACACATAGCGAGGAATTTGAAGGGGGTTAACGAACACTGAAACTAACATCATATCTGTATCATTATCGTATGTTCACAGTACAATATAGGTGAAAAAATCTCACAGAGTGTAGAATCTTTAAGGGGCACGTGTACATTGTCGCATTGACGCTGCCGTTTCAGGTGTTGCTCTTTGCTCATACGATTTTCCGAACAATTTACAACAGAAAGAAAAATAAATAGCAATATCGCGAAGACACGTACCTGTACGCGATGGTTCTCTTTATCGCACACATAAATAAATCCAAGAGCATCCGTGGTGATTCCCCAAGGATAATTAAACCGACCGTCGGCGGTCCCTTGGGAGCCGAAGGCTCTCAGAAAACGACCGGAAGGATCGAGAACCTGAATTCTGTGGTTGTAACGATCCGCGATGATGTACTGTCCGATCCTGTTCACGGCCACCCCGGCGAGGCAATCGAATTCACCCTCACCGCTGCCATACGTTCCGAACTCCTTCAGGAAGTTCCCATTACAGTCGAATACCTGAAAATTTCAACGCGAAATTATTCATCCTCCCGCGACTGTGCTAATCTTTGAAAAATTCGTGAGATCCGTGAGAAAATCAGTTACTTGAACACGATGGTTAGAGCTGTCAGCCACGACGATGAAATTGTCAGGGCCAACCGCGAGGCCTCTCGGCCAGGTAAAGCATCCGGCTTCGCTCCCCCGCATCCCGAACTTAAACAGCTGCCGCCGCTTCAGCAAGTAGTGACTCCTCCGGCCATTACTGTCGCATTTAAACAATCGCATCGTTTACTCACGGATTTAGTTTAGCATCGTTATCATCGATCAAGAAACTCACCTAGTGGAGGAACCTGCTGCCGCGGGTATAACGGGAGCTGCTGTAGGGGACGTGGGGGAGCCTGACGGGTTTTTTTGGTCGTCGTCAGAGGATTCGAAGGATGTTTGACCACCGTGCCTGAGAGGTAGTCCGAGGGATAACCTCCTCGAGGTTGCGCTACCACTGTAAAAAGAAATTCGACGTTTCGTATCCGAGAAGAGATACTCGTTTCGTTGACTTCTCACCTCGATGACGGAATCGTCGAGGCAGAGGACGAAGGCTCCTTGTCTTTGGTGGTACGATTGCCGTACTTGTTCTTCAAGTACCGCGCCCAGGAACTCAAGGCGGCGCCATCCTTCTCGGTACCTACTCTGTCTCGTTCTGGACTCGGTTCTCTCGACTTTAGAGCATGAGTACTCCGACTTCTGGCCAGTTCAGAGCCGGCTCCGTACTTGGCTGCCAAGTAAGCGTTCGGCGACTGGGTAGTCGGAGAGGGTGGCTCCTCGTCTAGGTCGAGGTCATCGCCGCCGAAGTTGTGCGAGCTTCTGGACCGGGCCAGGCGTTGTCTTCTTTCCTTCAACGCGGCATACCGTGACCTCGTCGACAGGGGCGAATCGACCTCCGTGTCCATGTCTCGCTCGCGTTCTCTCTCCCGTTCTCTTTCTCTTTCGCGTTCCCTTTCTCGCTCCCGTTCGCGTTCTCGTTCTCTTTCGCGCTCCCGTTCCCGTTCCCGGCTCGCCATCATCGCCGCCTGGCTCCTGCTCTTGTTTAGGAACCTGCAACATTGCGGAACGAAGGTTGGCTCGTTCAGATTCTTGTTAATCCGAGGAAAGCCAGTTACTCGGTGGATTAAAGTGGAGAAAACATCGTAGGCCGTCGATAGGTCTATGCGTATCAGGGGTTATCGATCATTTGGGACTCGTGGATGGTTGTTCGCGTGGTTACAAGCGACCGATTCGCGTATTTCGTCGGGTTCAGTGGTCGCTTCGCGCGGACATCGACAGGTTTTTGGTTACTTGGTTATCTCGAGCGATCAGCAGAACACTGAAGCTTGAATCTTCCAAAAATCTTGCAGCTGTTAACTTGCGGTTACACGATTTAGTAACATAACGTCGCAGTGAAACATCTTTGATGAATGATACGTGTAGTGACGCGATTTCTGCGATCCGATGATTTCGCATTGTATCAGCCCATCTTACGATCCTGGCTGTACTCGTCGATATAATAATCATACGTACGTGATCTACCCTCGTAATACGTCGCGTTACATTTTCTCACTATTGTATCGGTGCAAGTGTTAGTTACCATTTTATCGCGCGATCCATGGCAATTAGTCACAACCTGGTGTAAATCTGACGCGTAATCAGCCCTGTGTCCATATTGTGCGGGTAGTGAGAACGGATGCGTATCTACCGTGTTATATATCAATCTGGAGCACGATGCTTGATACGTCGGTTCTTTATCACGGTCCCCATAAATCGCGCACCGCGGGGAATAAACGTGGGCCCTGCATCGTCGAAAGCAATTTTATTCCGGAGAAAGCGGAGCATCGTTACTTTTAATTACCGATTTCTCTTTCCCGTTTCTCTTTTTTCCAATCGATTAATCGATTGTTCCCGGTATCGCGTAGGATAGAGTTCGCTATTGCTTTTCGACTCGAGATCAAACAATTAATCCGCGCGTTGTCGGTGCAACGGAACGCATAAAAGAGTTCGAGCTACGTGCATCGAATGCGTGCAGCAAGGAATTTCCAATCTCTTTTTAATCGAATACCCGTTTCACCGGAATCAGGTATTTCTCAGTACGCGTGTCGTTTCAGTGCAATCGTTTGGAGAAAAAAAGAAAAAAAAGAAAAAGCGTTGCTTCTCTCCCCATCGAGTACCTTTTCGTTGCTTATCATTCCTCAAAGGCATGACCCTGTTCGAGTAACCCTTGGCCACGATAAACGTCCCTTTTCTTAATATCGCGATAAATATGCATGACACCGGAGTTACTGGAAACGGTAGTCGTAAAATTTTAAGACCGCTTCTAACCTATATTTTTCCAGTTTTCTCGTAAACTCGAAGCAGCCGCGATGCTCGAGTTGCATCGAATTTTCGAAACTTCTGCTTGGTCGTACCTCGAAGCTAGGCAAAAAGTTCCCTCCGACTCGTAACGTTTAAACGATACGCCGAAAAGGGACGGTCCCGACGAGAAATTCTCCTCTGTTCGCTTTAAAATTCCAAATGATTTCCGAGCTACCGCGTTTAATGGACGTTCAACGGTAAAACGTATCGGAATAACATCCGTGTTTCCAGTCAAGTAGACTACAGACCGATATAGCCCCACTGACTATCTGAGCTGTAGCGGATATTTAAAGTAACAAACGAGTTATATTTAAACTCTTTACCGCATGCCTCGAGACTTTCCGTATCGTGCACAATACGGTCACATTAGTCCCGTTTCTAATATCTTTCCGTGCATTCTCCCGATACCCGGCAGTTCGAAATTCGATGCTCGTCCCCCGATCACCGATATCCAACAGTCATCCGATAGCCACCGGTCAAACGCGACTGGAAGCAAAGCGACGTAACGAAATTTAGTAGGAAGCTTCGCGAGCTTCCAAGTTTCGTCGGCGAGCCGTCCAAGTATCCCAAGTATCTATCGAGGTGTTTGCGAGCGAGAGCTTATTCGTTGATCCGTTTTGCCGTTGTTCCAAGTATCGAGAAGTTCGCGCAACGTGTATACGCGTGATACCTTGATCGTGGCCGAGCCTCGTCCTACGCGTGGATCGATTTTTACCTTCTCCTCGGAACTATATTTTCGTCGAGTACGCTGTGAATTCGTGGTACGAGCGTGCGTGCATCTTGCTGCGGTGCAACAGAGTTCGAGGGGGGTGTGTGTTAAATGTAAAGAAAAGCTGAGCGCCTTCGTGGAAATACTCGCTGGGGGGTGATGCGTGTAACGAGTAACGAAAGGAACGGATTTCACATGATCGACTCTGACGAACGTTCAATCTGTTAGTGCAATAAATAAAGATGCATTTTTTTTTTTTTTTCGTTCTCTCTTTTATTCCATACTTTTCGCGTATCTCTTGGGAGGCGGGGGTGGCAACGTATAAACGGGCAAGAAAAGACTAACAAAGATACTTAGAAAACAACTGGGGTGAAAAGAAGAAGAAGAAGAAAAAAAATAAAATTGGAAGCGAAACAAAGAACAGAGACGGTAAAAGTAGTGACTTGCAGGCGGGACACGACATTTCTCTCTTTTCGTTCTCTTCTGTTACGTACTTATATGAACTGAGGACAAGTTGAGAGGGAAATAAATAATACGAGTTATCACAAAGAAATGCAGTTTATTTACCACACCAACAAACTGACGCAAGCCTATTTACTAGGAAAAAAGAGTACAAAAATTTGAAATGATACGAAGGTGCGAAGGTGCAGCGGGAATGGCTCGTCACGCGTTACGCGGTCCACGTTTCGTCTCGCGGTCAACGCGAATGGTACCGCGTGACGTGTCATTAGCGCAATCACGTCGCGATGGGAACGATTCGGAAGCGATTCGGCATGGACTTAAGCTGCTTTTCAGGAGGACGGTATATCTCGTGCTACGCTTAGTTTAGTCGACTAGAGCGATGTTTCTTTTTCCTTTTTTTTTCTCTCGTGTCTACGAAGCTACGTGTATTGAGCAATGCGGGGATAATTATCGCGGGTGATCAACGTAGGAACAAAAAAGTTACGCTTACGATCGTACGTACGATTATCACAATATATAAAATGCAAGTTTTTCACCATACAATAATTACGCGAATCAGTGACGTCTACCGTTTGTTCTTTCTGTTTCTTTTATCTTTTCGGTTTTTCCTTTTTTCTCTTTTTTTTTTTTCTTTTTTTCTTTTTCGCTCGAATCTATAGTTACCGGTGGATGCGTATGAACGATCAATGATATCGATTGGAAGACGTTAGTGGATGAAAGATTCCGGGCAGCAGTTTCGCGAGACGCGACGACGCGAGCGAATAACTATTCGAACTGGAAGGAAAACACGGGCAAACGAACGTTCCCGAAGCAAGGGACCGAGGAATTCCGATGCCTCTTATCGCGAGGCGTGTTTCTCTGTTTATGTTTCGAATCGAAGGTTCGCGAGCGAACTAGTTCTCTTACCCGGGCACGTGGGAAACGCGAGGAACGACAGTGTCGAGACGGACGAACGCGAAGAAAGAAGCAACGATCGAAATAACGAAGAAGAAAATAGGAAACTGCTGCGTCGGATCTGCCTATCGGCGATATGCAGTCTCGTCTGTATTCGTGTGAGTAGTCTTTGCAGTCTTTTACGACTAACACCGACGAACAACGACAAAATAGAAGGCGAGAACGTAAATACGGTGAGAAGGGGCATGGGGGCACGTGTAGTAGACAGGTTACAGGAACAGATTGATTAGAACGCTGTAACACAGTACGGACACACAGAAAACGGTGGTTACCATTTGCATCGGTATAGAGATATCGACACCAGGCGTGTCCTCGTGCTCGTTGGAACTTTCGGTCTCTTTGGATTGGGTAGCGTTCGCGACTAATGCACCGTTCTCAATGTTAGGTCTCGCCACGAGGTCGGTCGTTTGGGAACGAATCGTGCTCGTCTCGTCCTTGCTTTCGCCCTCGACGTCTTTCCCGGCAGACGCGTTCTTCGTCTCGTTTAGTATCACCCAGCCCTTTTCGTCCACGCTCCACCCGTTCTCGGCTAGCTTCGAGTCTTTCGCGTCTGCCTTTTCTTTCTCGTTCGTGCTCGACACCGGCCAATTCGTCCTCTCGTCCTCGGTAATCGTCGCCATATTCCTCCATGCCTCCGTCGTGTTCTTCCCGCTCGTTTCCCGAGTCGTTTCGCTCTCTACCGGCGAGATGGCTCGGTCCGACTCGGTCTCGGACTCGTCCGACACCAGCCAACCGTTCTTCCCGATGCTGTTTTGCCTGTACACTCGACTCCTCGACAAACTCTCGGGCGACTCCGACATGCTCGAAGCTTTCTCGTCTTCCACCGTTTCGTCTTTGCCCTCGTTGTCGATCGTGTCGTTAACCGGCTGCTTCGTATCGACCAACTTGTCCGACCCGTTGCGTCTCTCCCTGTTCGAGGATGACTCCACGCTCCCGTTACTCGAGCCCAAGTCCTCTCGATCCATCGACTCGAAACTTCTGGAGATTCTCTGAGGGTTTTCTGCCTGCAGATCCTGATCAGTAATCACCCATCCGTTATCGTCGAACAATTCCTCGATACTTTTCTCCTCCAGTATCGAGGAACTTCGTCGCTTCATGCCGCCATCGTCGTACCGTTCCAGAACGCTGTAATTATTTTCGGAATGAGAGTCGGACGATACGTTTAAAACGGTAGTCTGCTCGTCGGTCTCCGAATCGGTCGATTCGTCCTCGCTGAAATCATCGCGACGCTCACCGTCGACGGCTCGATCGTCTCCTTGCTCCGGGTTCTCAGTCTTTTTATTCTTTATGTTACTATTCTCGTCCCTGGACACGTCGTCCTCTTCGTCGTCCGTCTCGGACACGCTCTCGGTGTCGCTCCCGGATTCGCTATCGGACCCGCTCTCGGAATTAATCTCCACGCCGTTGGCATCCACGTTGGTCCCATCCAGGGCTCCCCTCTCGTCGCCGTTCACCACCGTTTCTCGCGACGGTCCCAACGATTCCGCGAAATTCGGATGCTCGTTTGCCCGGTATCTCGTGTCTTTGATAACGGCTGACTGGCCGAGCGATATCGAAGAGTTCACGTCGTTCCCCGAACGACCTTCCACTAACGCGTCCTCGTGGACCTCGCTGCCGTTCTCTACTCGACTATCGTTACCGCTACCTTCGAGACTTTCGATTCTAGTCGCGGAGGAGGAGGAGGATGAGGTGATCGTTTCGTCGGTGTCCGTACTATCGTCCGTGTGGGTTCGTTTGTTCGACTGCGGTTTAACCATCGATCCGTTCGCACCGTCAATATCGTAATCCGCGTTCTTAGCCGCGATTTCGTAATCCTCGACACGATCGGTTGACGGTTCATCGTGTTCGTCACTAAACGTCCTAAAACGATTACGGTCGTGGGGGTTATTGGAATTAGAACTGGCCTGATGATTCTGACCGTGATCTACGTGTGCTACGAACCTGCTGGTGTAGCCGGCCGGCGTTGTCAACGTCGCGGCGCCGCTCGTTGTCGTCGTCGTCGTCGTCGCTGTCGGGCTCGTCACCGAATGCGCGGGACTTCCTCTCGGCGACGAATACCTGAGACACGAGTTCATCTCTCGATATTCCAGTTCAATCTCCTTTGTGCTCGAGGCGCGTTTCGCGAGTACAACCCTTCGCTTCTAATCCCTTCTCGAACCGATCCTCTCGACTTTACATACCCGACGTACTCGATGATCGTCTCTCGCGGCTGATCAAAATTTCACTCCGTTTGAAAAAATGGGCGCACGGTATCGTACCAAGGATAGCGACTAATCGTCGAAATTACGGGCGATTCTCGCGTGAACGTCGTTAACCCCGCTATCGATTCCCGATTTCCCAAAGTCGTCGCATTATCCTCGTTATTCGTTACAACGGAGATAAGCGAAGAGACGGAGAGATAACGGTATCTCTTCTTCCCTTAAAATTCGTGCCGTGACGGACGGAAAAAAAAGATCTGGTTAAAAAATTTGCCATCGAATCGTGGAATTTACGCGGATCAGACCGGCGATTTCGTCTCGCGCGATGTTACTTGTTAATAGAAATGCTCGAATTAGAAGATCCGGGAGAAAGTATACTTGCCTGGTCGTAGGTGAGTTTTCCTTGCTGCCGCGTCTCGCCTCCGCGCTCCTAGCGAGCAGAGGCCCTATGTCTGTCCTCGCCATCGCGGACTCGCTCCTCTGACGATCCTGAGCCGGGGTAGAGGGCGTCGTGGACGTGGTCGTGCCCGCTGGATGAGCATCGGTTTCCGATTCCTCCTCGGTCTCGGATTCCGTCTCTTCCGACGAGCTACTCGTTTCCTCGTCCTCCTCCTCCTCTTCCTCCTTCTTCTTTACGGCGGTCTCTTCTCGCGCCGCTGGGGGTTGCGTGGGCGGTGGTGGGGCTGCGCGGTTACCTAGAGAAATATATGAGAAAATTCGGTACACGGCCGAATAAATATCAACCGCTCTACACGTCCCGCTTTCTAGGCGAAATTACGTTCCCGGGAAACGTCATTTGGAGAGAGGTAAAATCGTTAACGGCGCGCTGTAACGATCCTGCACCTCGGGTCGTTAAACGCGTATTCTCCAGACGAACGACGCGTCGCGACGTTCGGGTCGTCTTAACGGGGGTGTATTCGTGGTGTAACTCGGGTTCGGTTGCCTCTCTAATCGCGATCGAACTCTCTCACCTGTGCCTAAAAAACGGCTCTGGAAGGATCGGGACGCGGGGGTGGCGTTGGCGGTGGTGTCTTTGGCAGTCGGTGGCGTCCCGCTGTGCGGCGACGAGGTCGTGGATGTTGCGTTCGACGCCGGTGCCCTCGACAAGTACTTCTGCTTCATTTCCTCGGCGGTGAATGGTGCACCGGTGCTGCGGATTCCTGATCCTCCCGAGCTCTCGGAGCCCGTGCTCGAGTCTGATGAAGCGCTTCTCGTCGCAGGAGTGTGGGTATCCGTCGAAGTTCTCCTGCGAGCAGCGATATTTCAATTAACGACTTCCTCGAGTCGGTAAACTCGATGGAGTAGCGAGCATTCGTACGCCGTAATTCGTGCCGGTGATATTAGTATACGTCCTGGCTCGCTGTTCGACCTCGCGTAACGAATTTTCCGCGCGCCATTCGTCCATTTTCCATCGTCGCGTGTCCCAAAATCGCGCAAACTTCCAGGCAAGTGGCGAAAGCGGAGGTGGGGCAGGGGGCGTGCAATTGTTCGAATCGGTATCGTATTAACGTATGTCGAATATGAACATTTTCCGCGCGGAAAGAGCTGTTCCGTTAATTCATCGGCTAAAATTACCGGTTCGTCGACGAGGAAAAAAAGAAGAAAAAAAAAAACGAGATAAAAAATGGGAAAGAACAAAATTCCGGGATTAACAAAGGCCCTTTACCGTTTCTCCCTCGTCCCCCTATTGCGCGTATTAGAGTTTTCGCTCATTAAAATACTCGACGCGATAATTTCCGACAACGAACGAATCCGTATTAAAATTCCTGACAGAATATTTAGCGTTATCGACAAGAAGCAGAGAGCTGAAACGGGATGAAATTGTTCAGCCATTTAAACTTTCGGGAACGATAAGGAAAAATTTGCGTACCGTTTCGCGTTACTATCGGAACAATGGACATTTCGAGCATCGAAATCGTTTAGTCTCACTTCGAATCGTTCTCGAATCGTTCTCGAATCGTTGCGTTTCCTATAAACGGAAACGTATAAACGACGAAAGGTAGAATAGTTTTTCGAATGGAACTTTTCTTAAGCTACTGTCGATCCAATTAAATCGTATCGCTGTATCTCGAGACGCAGTGGAAAGCTGCAGGACCTGGAACGTTCCTCTAGCGAACGGACGTAAATCAGTCTGACTAGACGCGCGCTACTACTACTGCGACGCGTACGAACCGAGATCCTCGTGACTTAATGTTAACACAACTGCGAGCGAATTCGATTGGATCGTACGTTGGGCTATCAGTCACGGATGCCTAAATTGTCGTAGCGAGGTTATCGTGTCGGTAAGGCGAAATCGAAGGCCACGGACGTGGAATCGAAATTCCATTTGCGAGGAGAGACTCGGACTCACGGGGGATTATTTTATCGGAACGAAAGGTAGATCTAAAGACGTACCTCGCGGGCATCGGTCTCCGCGCGGGTTCCTCCGGTTCTCGTTCGGAGGGTGTCTCCCTCGGAGGTGGATGTACAGGTGCAGGTGTTGGCGCCGGTTGTCGTTCTTCCACCGTTTCGGTCGCAGGTGTGGCCGCTGTTTTGTTCTGCTTTTTAATCCTAGAAATCTCGTCGTCCTCGCTGGTCTGCCTCGCCATCGCTGTCGGCACTTTTCTCACTTGTACCTATGCGATAAACAGATATATTTAACGAGGCCGTAGCTGCAACTCGCTGAAAAATTCCCGATGAATCGTCGCACGTTCTTTTGCTTTCTCGCTTTTCCATTTTCTCTTTTCTTCCATTTTCTCCCCATTCTTTCTTTCTCTCTGCGACGCGATACGTATGCGTGGATAAATTATTCGTGGGTGATTAGGCGTTAGCGAACGAGGCTGGCATTTTTGCGCCGGGCGTGTGTGTGTTTCGGTGTGTATGAACGGCGACATACGCGAGATGCATGAAAATGCTAGTCTGATTTCGCATGAAAATGTGACAGCGAATGAATAGACGTGTGGTTGTGGGACAAAGAGAGGATTTGTCGCAAATGAACGCGACAGAAATAGATGAACTTCTTCTTGATGAGCAAAATATATTCGTGTATTCATATGTTTCATTTGTATTATAATAGAATTTCGTACAAAAATACAACGGCTAACTACAAACTAAATTTATTCACTCGTGCCTCGAATTATTTACATATTTATGAGTCGAGATCAAGTATACATATCATATTGCGGCTTGCTTCTGTTTTTCCGTATGAAATATTGAATTATTTTAAATTCGTCGAGATTTATTCCCTTTTCGTGTCCATAAAGGGAACGATACGTTATCCGTGCGAGTGTGTACGCTTGTATACATATGTACATTGAACGATCAAAAATTTAGTTCCCGTTGAATCGCATCCAAGCGATATAACGCGAGATTTCGAAGCTACTTTCGTCGAGCTCGCCCATCGAACTGCCCCTCACGATCCATTCCTCTATTTCGCCTGCCATAATAAGGGAATCCGTGTGAAAATTCTGTGCTGCGGAATCACTGTCAAAAACAAATACGACCGTGTGAAATTTACGAACTGAAAAATCAATCGAGTCTACGATTCAATTTACAAATCGAATTTATTCGCGGTCTATCGCGACGATATTTCTCGCCGTTTGCGAAAATCGTTCGCCACCTCGACGGTGCATATTCGCGAACCAACTAATTACGTTCAGCAATTTTTCTCGGAAATCGCGAAACCTAACGAATGCATATAGAAGACGCAGAGAATGTTTCGAGAGGCGGGAGTCGAGCGAGAATCGATAACCAGCAGTTAAAACTCGGCAAATCGTGTGAAATCTAGTAGATAGAAGCTCGCATTCTTAAATTGAACTGTGCGAGTCGCGTGCAATAGACAGTAATCACGAGGTAATATGAAAGACACCGTAGTACCGAGATAATTCTGCTCGTTATAACGTGAAAATATTATTCAATTAACCTGAGGTTGTTTCGGTGGTTGAGGTTGTTGAGCAGGGTGTATCGCCGGTTCCTCCTTCTTCCTTTTCCCGGCTCTCTCGTATTCTTGAAGCTTCTTCATGATACGCGGCGAGTCGGTGAGTCGAAAAATCCCGGAAAGTGGCCCACGTGCCGCGTCTTCTGTGTCCAGAACACGTTCACGAAGTCCCGAGGATTCCTGCGGCGTGGACGTGAACCGAACGGTCGACCTCGAGTCGCCATCGGAATCGTCTCCGTCCCGATGTCGCATGAATCGACTTCTGTACCTCGATTTGTTCCTCGGTACTTCGTACTCTGGCGCGTCGTACCTGTCACCACAATAATTGTCTCTCTTTAATATCTCCTTGTCCTTACTCTTACCTTATTCCTCCAGTTTTACCGAGGAAGCTGCTTTCCAGCGTAGACAAATCTCCGGTGAATATCGTTAGACCTTAGCTACCAGCGGTTGGAGTTAATTCGATAATTCAAGGATAAGACAGAGAAACACGGAGATTCTACGATCTTCTCTGTCTCCAATAATTCCTACTTGGACGTCTGTTTCGATCGAACTCGAGTAATCCGACGATAAAGCGCGTGCCTCTGTATAGAGATCAGCTATCATCCGTCGTGGCAATCTCGAGTGACACGTATCACCGATACGTCACGGAACCATCGGATAGGAACTCTGTAAGTGCACGCTAACGATCCGGATCGAATTTACATTGGATACATAAAAGATACGCCAGAGAGAGAGAGAGGAGCACGAAATCGCGAATTCGAATTTAATACCCCAGTGTTCCATGTTCGGGAGTAATTTCTCTTTAATTTCACGCGTCGATCGAGAAGCCATTATATATTCGTTTTCAACGATTAACTTCTTCGAATGGAATTTCAGGCCCGAATGAAACATTTACTCGCGCGTGATTTTCTGTAACTAGGTTATCTGCTTTGCAAGGCAGTGCACAGCGATAGATTCATCGGGTTTATCCGAGTGTTGCTTAATTATCGCTTTACAGACACGAGGCTGGCTCCGCGCGACGAAGAGGAGATCGCGTATGCTGATTATAATTGATCTTATTCAAATCCGGTCGTACAGTCACTTGCAGGTCGAACCCGCTAAATATTAATTCCGTTCACGGAGCTTGAAATTATTCGAAGATCCCCCGGCCGGAAAATTAGGCAGCCCGAAATGAAATCCGAAGTTCGATTCGATTCCGTTTTATTTAACACGACTCCTTGAACTAATGCTTTCATCGACGATTCGGGGTCTGCTCGAGCGAAGGTTAAATCGGTCCTCTCTTTATCCAGACACTCGATCCGATTTCTCCGCGAAAACATCGTCGAGAAGAGAATTTCCAATTATCGTTAGCCCGTTGCATAACAGACATGTGACGTGGAACACCGTTCTCTACCATCGCGATCCAAATTTCTCGCCCGATCGAGCCAGCGATCTTGGGATTTTTAACGCTACCGCATAAAGCTATAACCATAACCGCTGAACCCGAATAAAATCCGGTCGTTCTTTACAAGTTGCTTGGGCGAAACGAAAGAAACACGAAATAGCTGGCGTAAAAAATTTCGAAGGATGCACGAATATCGTGGACGAATTTGCGTGTCGCCGCTTCGCATAATTGCCCTCTGATAATCGGCTAGAGAACTGCCGAATTTGCGACAATGGTCATGCAACGGAGAGTCCTTAATTGCCTGTTCCTGCCGGCACATCGAGGACACGGAACACCGAATGCACCTTATGCACTTGGTAAATTACTCTTTATTACGCGGAGCATTATATCAAAAGGTTTTTCATTTACATTTTGACGAGGTGACTTAATAAAACGGCTGGTGTGCGTACTACAGCAAACGGCCGGTAATTAAACTCGACCATGCCTATTTCGGCCTCGAGGAAGTTGTTCCCGGCCCACGCCAGGAAAAAGATACAGCCAGAGGAGCCTCGTGTATTTATAACATTTGCTAGAATAGATATGTGGGACATCCTGAAAAATGTATGCCCACCACGGATGCCGTTTGGCAATACTCCAAAGTAATCTGCGTCCACGGTCAAACAGGGTTTTTACCGGTCAGCTAGTTACCAACGAGATGCCTCTTTTCTTTACCCGTCTTCATTTTCCCTGAAAGATACACCCTTTCATCGGACGAAAACCCGGTTCCTCTCTATTCAGCGATATTTCTTTGATCCACCGGCGTGCCGCGTTGTTCCTGCCGGAACACTCGAAGATCCGGATACGTTCTAAAGGGGACAGCATCACGCAGCGCACCCAAGCCAAGTTTCCCTTCTGCCCCGACTGAAACGAGGGTTAGGTGGTCCGCTGTCGCGAGCTGCTCCACGGACGGAAGCCCCGGTGTCTTCCGGCGCATGAAACGGCCATAACCGCGCGATACTTCTACCCCTAATCTCCTCCCGTCGGGGAATATTCGCGTAACTCGACAACCCTCTTTTCCTCGGTGCATCGCGTTTCCAGTGCACCGCGACGCGGAGAAAAGGTTTAACGAGGATGCTCGCCGAAAAGCATCCTTTCTCGGTATATGGTTTCTGTTTAGAAAAATCGCGCGGCCATTATGTAAAGAAGCTGCTCCGAGAGGGATCTGTTTTACGGCCGGCCTGGAAGCTAGCTAGGCTAGCAAAGGCCGGGGTTTTTTGCCACGAAGAAACAGGGGGAACGATAAATAAAGCGGGTAGGGTAAAGAGTAGATGGGATAATTACTCGTATTCGGGCACGTATCGATTTCTCGCCAGTCGCTCTTCCTCTTGCTGCCGGTACTGCGAGGCCAGACGATGGTCGCTTTTGCTTCTCATGAGGCCCGGTGATCCTCCGGGAGGTGCTAGACTGCTCGAGCTACCGAGCAATCCTCCGCTTCCGGTTTCTGGCTTAATATTCAGTTCGCCGTAACCTGCTACATGGAGGACCAGCTGGTTCGGATCGTGTGCCATCACGAAACGCACTCGCCGACTGTAATCCCCGGCCTCGTACTCGAAGTTCCTGTAACCGGGATCGTAAATTAGCTCGAGTTGTAACTAAATTTTTTACCCTTATCGCCGAGTCATGCTATTACGGGCCCACCCGGGGATTTAGCCCAACTTTCCCTTAACGACGCAAGTTTCAGGCATTCTTTTCCAGTTTCTCTGCCAAGGAAATCTTTATCGAACCACCCCCCCAGTTCTTCCGTTCTCGGTTCGAGTATGCACGAGCAAGTATACACTCGAATTTTTCATATTTTCCTATATCGTCCATCCACCGACTTTTATATCCGATTAAGAAAGTAAATCGGGTTTTTCGAGAAAAATGGGAGAAAGAAATGGCGACCTTTTCGAGACTCGCAGCGCATCAGCCGCAGGATGCAACCTTTGCATTTTATATCGAAGAGATCCCTTATTCTCCAGCCCCGTACAGCTTTTCCCTCGTATTTATCGCGAGCGTCGGGTAGAGGCGAGCTCCTAAATATTTCCCCGAGTTTCCTACGCCTGCCTCGTTCATTCGGTAATCCCGCCACACCGAGAATAATAACAGGGCAAAGCGGGATGACTGTTTAAAACTGAAAGACGGTTAGTATGCTGGCGTGTCGCGGGCTAAAGTGGAAGGGTAAGCGGAATTTCGACAAGCTCGGGATGAAAGCTTCCATTTACCTTATGCGCCGCGGAAGATCGAGTGCAAAAGTTCTCCGTGGCCGCTGTGCATCTCGCCTCGAGTACATGTCCATCTTCGCGCGGCGGACAAGTTTCGTGGAATATCGGAGAAGCAATTTGGAAAAACCGGTACGAACGGGTCACGTGCTTGCCGTAAAATTGCAATTTTCATTGTTTTCCCGCCGATCCGACGAGCGAACGACTTAACGTATCCGCGTTTCCACGTTTCCGCCTCGCGAGGAAACGAACCGGTCGAATCGGATGATTCGCGGCGTTACATCGGCGGCCTTACACCGATTCGGATTCGATTGCTCTGTCTAATCTATAAATTGCCCAGTTAAAAATCGAAAGAACGTCGTCGCGTGCAAGGGACCCGCGGAGTTTCCAGAGAATCGGTTCGAGCGGTTAAACGATTATTTTTAATGCGGAGTCTTTAAAGCGGTTGACCGATATTTTCGGTCGCATTCGCGTTACACGCGATCGTCTTTACCCGCGTACACTCGTTCGGAAACTAATAAATACGTCTTCGTGTTCGGTAGAAACGACTTTAAAGCGGCTTTAAAATTCGCGAGTGAGACAGCGACCGCCGTAGAATGAAAAACTGCGCGGGGAATGAAGAACAATTAAAAGACAGGGGAGAAGATAAGACCGGTTTCCCGTTGGCGTACGAAAAGAATGATTTATCGTTCATTGCCTGAATTATGTTTCACGCGCCATATAACGCGGCCGGGCACTTTTATTTCATGAAAATTTATGGAAGAGGGACGCGTGTGGGTGAAAGCATCGGGCGTCGAATGTTTTGGTTATCTACAAAACGTATGGCCTGGCGCGAAATTTGTTGATTCTTAATTGAATGTTGAGAGAGTGATACAGTGCGGGGTTTTTGCGGGAAACGCGGGCGAAAAAGGCTGCCATAATTTTAGATATCGCGGCCTGCTTTGACACTAAACTTGACGCTCGATAAAGCACGAAAAACGAAATACGCGTCTGGGAAATTGCCTTTCCATGGATCAAATTTAAGGTACTTTATATTTCAAGAGGATCGTTATTCCCCGTGGAGTCTACAATGAATTTTTTAGGGATCCCGGATCCTTTGCAGGTTCTAACGTCGTTTAAGGACGACGGAAAACGGATTCCAAAGTCTTTCTTTCCGCGAAATTGAAGTCGCTCTTATCGTTCGATCGCTTTCCGCCTTTTCTTTCCTCCGTTCGAGCATCGACGAGACGCAATTAAAGCGTAATGGTCGCGAGATTTTCACCGAATAAACGTGTCTCTGTTTGCCCGAATTTAATCGTCATTCGCCGAGAATCCTTAAAGAATCCTTAAAGGGACCAACCGGCATCTTTGACTCGACGAATTTCAATCTGAATTCTCGCGAAACTAGTTTACAAGGAGGCAGGCGTAGCGAGGCATTTCCTTTTCATAGCCGGGGCAGTGGAAGACGCAATTTAGCCGAGGGGTGGTTCGTTAGGAATTACGGGATTAAATATATTCGGTTTACCGAATCGGAGGAATTCGCACGAGGAGATATGACGGTGGATGCAACCACCGACACGGTAGCCGGGCTCTCCGCTACCCTAATCTCGCACGAGTCCGACGAAAGCTCGGTGGTTGGTGAAAAAAACGGTTTAGATTTGCGTGACAAACCTGATGAATTCCACCGTACGCAGGAAGAGCTCTTTTGTGTCGAGGAGTTCCGAATCGTCCCATGGCACGTTTTCATTGATGTGAGCCTCCGCCAAATCGCAGTTGCTCTGGATATTCGCGATTTCCAATTCGAGATTCTCTTTGAGCTGAATCAACCCTCTGAGCTCGGTGCTCAGGTATCGATCGACCTCGTTACGCAGATGTTCCGTACGGTCTTTCAAAGCCTTGCTCAGCCTCCGATAAATCTCGTCCACCTCTTCCGCGACCGAGGCGCAGTTTGTTTGCAGACCCAACGTGTTTTTCTCCACCAAAGCCAGCGCGTCCTGCAACCTGTGCAGTCCCCTGCGAATCTGCAAACAGGGTTTCCATTGAATCGATCAAAATCGCTGGGAAAACGCGTCGAATTTTCTTTCAACTCTCCTCTCGTTCTCGCACCCCTTTCTAACCCTTCTCTCGGCCTGGCAAACCGTCAAAGGATTCCCAAACTTTCGGAAAGGACTACGCGGGACACTCGCGTGGGTTCTCCCCGCGATGCTAATCGAGGGGTGCGTTCGGTGTGGCGTTTCGCATTTTGCTTCCAAGCGGAATTCTCATCGCGAAAGGGAAGCGTTTGTTTTGAATACATTAGGGGCGAGCAAATATAACGGCCGGTTATTTTTGGATTGCACATACATAGCGCGTAGTTGCACGTACGCGGTTATGTTGACCTGAATTCGCGGTATTCGTCCCGGTCGGATCGAGTCGCTCGATACGCAACTCGATTTCGATATTTCCGGGGTCTATTTCGAATTTCAAGACCGGCGTAATTACGTCCAGCCTCGTTGCTCGACCGTCGTCATTCGACCGGGGGGAAGCCGAGCGAAGGGTGCCGGAGTGTCGTTCCTCGAACGATAACGCGATCCGTCGTGAAATTAGCAGCGCGGAGGAACGTTTCGTTTCGCGATTGTTGCTCGTCCGTCAGGTTCCCGATAACCTAAACCCGTTTCGAGCACCCTCGACCGCAAATATGTAACCGCGATTCGAAAGCGGTCGGTTCGAAATTCCGCAAGAAATGCAGGCAAGTGCGACCGCCACATTTTCAACGCGATATCAAACATTGATCAACATGTCTTCCGGCACGTGAAAGAGTTTAAATTAAAAATGGAGTGAGCAACGGATTCTGTTTGAAGCCCTCGTTACACCGCGAACAGGACGGGGAATAACCCTTGCGTTTTCTCTGTTCTAGGAATTTCCCGTCGAATTTCGTCGAAGATTTCCTGAGCTTGCACAATGACTACCGAGCTATTCATGGTTCACCTCCATTACGAATCGATGATCGGGTATACAAGGGTTTTCCCTTATTTCTCCGAGAAATATTCTTCCCGCGGTGCGCTCGTTTACTCAACGGGGTTGCATGAAATATTGAACGCGGCCATTTCTCAGCGAACCGCCTCTGTACATTTTTATTAACGCGACAGCATCGCGAGATCCGACCGTAGTAAATTTCCACCGCGTTGCGACGTTACCGTATTAACAATGCGATCCGAGGGCATTTCCAACGCGATTCCGCGTTAACGATCGAAATTCTTTTCAAGTTGAACGAGCCAGCGCAAGAGTGGGCGGACGTATTGGCGAGAAAGGGCGTCCTCGAGTACAGATCGGATCCGAATTACGGTGAAAATATATACGCGAGCTTCTGGAGAGACGTGCCGGCTGAAATCAAGCCGAGGGAACCACTGGAATCCTGGTCAGTATTCGAAAACGTCCTTCTTCGGAAATTTTCATTTTTCTCGGTCCAATTTCAACTGAGAACACGTCGCGGAATCATTCGTACTAGTCGATAAGGATTTTCAAACAGTCGCGTCGATATTTCGTATATTTACGATCGTAAAAGTGGAATTTCGAACAGGTAGCCTGTAATTGGTCGAATTTAATGACTCCCCAGGTACAGAGAGGGCAAGTACTTCAGATACAAGGATGACGACGTGAAAGGTTTGGAGAGCGTGCGCCATTTCACTCAGCTAGTATGGAAAGGAACGGAATTGATAGGTCTCGGAATGGCCAGCGATGCGAACGGAAAAATTTATTTTGTCTGCGTTTACTATCCCCCTGGCAATGTTGCGGGCGAATTCGCGGACAATGTGTCACCACCCGTTCAGGTACATTCTTAATTTTTCTTTCCATTTTAAAATAATCACGACGACATCTTGACGTCACTCATTTTTCGCGTCATCGTTCTTCCTCTTTGTTTTTCGCTTCTCTTTCGACAGTTTATGCCGTTGATTTTAGCAAACGCACGGAGATGGTCGGAAAGGGAGGGAAAATTTGGAATCGTCGTAAAATCAGTCCGCGTAGCTGGTCGATAGGGGAGCAAATGGGAGTCGCGCGCGAGGAACGTACGATCCGGCACGTTTTGCGAATGGCCAGTGAAAATGTAGTCGAACTGGAATTTCAAACACTGCCACGCTTTCTTTCTTATCCCTCTCGTCGACCAGCAATATCCTCGATCCAAAGACGATCGGAAATAGACACGAACCATGTTGGACTCGACGTTTCTGGAGACAGGTCGGGTTTACGTCGGTCCGATCCCTTCGATCCCTTCGATTCCTCCGAATTCTTAATGGACTACCAATCGCTCTCGAATCTACTTCACCGAGGTTGTTCGTAATCCTCGCGAATCACCGATTATTCCACCTCGATTCGGATTTCCCTTGATCCCGGAGAATTTTTAATCGCAGGAAAAGTGGAACGAGGGAATTGGTAAAAATCGAAGACGAAAATATTCGAGGGTGTTCGATCCTGAAATCGGTTCTCTCGCCTTGGTGGCGAGTCGATATCTTCGCGTCGACTTCTTCTTCGATATTTTCTTCTTTTTCCTTCTTATGTTCGAGGAGAAAGTCTGTTCGTCCTCTGCGAGGTTAGCATCGCGAGCGAAAATAGATTTTCATCGGAAAAAGAGTTGGGTATCGCGTAATTTCTTGGTCGTCGAGTCGCACGTGGACGTAACGCATTCTCGAGAGGATTTTCACGGGATCGCGCGGAAATGGCGGCTTACCTGGGAATTGATACGCGTAATTTCGCGCCTGAGGATGTCCATGTGAGCGTCCTTGCATTCGGGACAGCACTTCTTCTCACAGTGGACGCAGAGGGAGCAGTAGCTTTTTTCCGAACAGACGCCGCAACGTTCCATTGTCTGGCCGCTGGTCGGGTCCGGCAGCTCCCCGGTGATCTCGATGTGCAATTCCAGGAATCGCTGCAGGGTCACGTTGGTCGGGAAGGCCTGCACACCCTGGCGAAAACACGACGCGAGTTAAAACCTCTCCACGGTTCCCTTCATCGAATAACCATGACTCCCGTTCGCAATGAAACGAAAGAAATTCCAAACAGGGGGATAACTTTGATCACGGGGACGCGAGCACGTGGCTTTTACCTGAAATTGAATTTCATACGGGTCTCGTCTCCATCGCGTTTCTTCGTTTCAGCCTCGTCCTCCATTTCTCTTCCTTGTTTCTTCCCTTTTACCTCCTTTTATCTCCCCTTTGTCATTTTTCCTTCACTCTTAACCAAGAACAACCGAGTTACGTTTGACATCGAACGATCGGTTACGCCGCCATATTGGAGAACACTCGAGGCTTATCCAATTTTGCGAAGGATATTCGCCACTGCCAATTGGCTCTTCGAGTAAACACGAGGATGCGCATTATGCACGAGTACGAAATTTTCAAAGGAAATTTTTAAATTGATTATTTAGACTGCGCTGGGTTTAGCGTATCGATGTCAAAAGCTCGTTCGATGTCGAGACAACGAATTTTAATTCTCGAAATCGATCGAGCTTTCGTTCTTCCTCGGTATCGAGACGAAGGGGAACCATAACGCAACCTTTCGTAATTGCTTTTGTTCCCGTAAACTCGCGAAGAAGCTGGAAGACTCGCGGCTGGAGATTGTTGGCAGCGGAAACGGCGAGGAAGTAATAAGTTTTTAAGAGCACGGGGAATCGCGATATTCTCGACAGTGGTGCGTAATCAGCGGAAACTTTGCCCGTTAACGTTCCCGAGATTGATTGCTCACCTGGTAGGGGATGCGATGTTCCGCGCGGCATTCTGGACATTTCACTTGTCGACGCACGTAGTCAACGAGGCCATCCATGCACGGTTCCATGCAGAAGCTGTGCTGGCATGGCAGTAGCTTCGGGTTCCTGTATCGGTCCAGGCATATCGCGCACGTTAGCAGTTGCTCGAACTGCTCCATGCCTGCGAAACGCAAAACGACACTGGTTATTTCTCCTAGTTTCTCTCGTCTCTCCCTCTCCCTCTATTCTTCAACGCGCGAAAATGAACGGAAACGCACAGGGACCACAGGGACTCGTGGTGGACGTATTAAAAGAAATTCATTTTAGTCGGCCCGCGTCACAGGTTTGACCAATTTCCTGTAAAACATCCGCGAACCTTACGCCACTCCTCGAAATACGAAGTCGTCCCCGTCATAGCTAATAAATAGTTGAAACGCGTGATACGTGGCCTGTTGCGATTCGAGATCTGTATTGTGCCAAGTCGTTATTCATCGTGTCGCTCCTCCGCCGAGAGATATTATATTTTCCGCGGTGGTATTTCCCCTTCGCGTTTCCACGAATATCTGGCGTACGAGAAAAACCTTCGCCGCGTCTTCTCCCGTTCATCCTCCGAGTTTGATATTTCCCGGAGAACCGTGCTTCTGCCACGAAAGCCCGGCGATACGCGGACAATGATACGCGCGCGCGGCCAACAAGGCAATGTCAAGTTCTTTCAGAAGTGTCATTGCTCTTCTATTTCGAGACCCAGTGTGTATGTATCGCCGAGGCGAAGTTGTTGCCCGAGAGATGGGTGAACTCGGAGGGTGTCCCTGTGAACTTCGCGCGCTGCAAATTGGCCTGAACGACTCGGTCTTGCAATTAGACGAGTGGCTTGGCAGCCACGCCACCGTTTCGTATTCTCGTTTATCGGACCGTTTCAAAATTCCTCCCCCGATTTATGTTCGGCACCGCGGCACAGTTTCCAAAGTGGCCAGCGAATTATCGAAAGTGCTCCACTTTGATCGCTGGAAAATACGAAACTTTGCATCTTCGCCGCCAGCACCACACCGCGTCTTTCCTTTCCACGCGGATCCACCGCGTAATCGCGGCTCTCGAGCCAAGCAAAATAACGCCTGGCCCACGGATTTTTCAATAACGCGCGTTTTATTAATACTCGTCTATTCTCACTCGTGACATTTGTCTATCGACGTCCCATTAATAACGCGTCTTTTCCATTACCTTCGTCTAAAATTATCCGGGGTCTACTTCGAGTCTGCTTCTATTACTTCCCGCCCATTATATCTCAATGGTCTTTCTTTTTCCTCCTTTTTCCTCCCTCTCTTTCTCTCCCTCGGAATTTCTCTTTCATGCTCGTAAACCGAGCCGGGCATGCTCGCGATAATTTTCTCCCGCGATTCTGGCTCGTCCTCCAATCGGCTGCCGAAAAACGTCGATGAAACGCGGGTGGGTTAAATTTAAAATCCGCCTGTACACGCGCGTACATCCGCGACGAAGTATCAGAGATTATTTCAAAGCGTTCCCTCAGACGCGTAGCCGGCTGTCGGAGCCAAATCCATTCCGGCTTTCGCAACATCGGGATACGTAGCTAGACGTCGAAGGCCGTGCCAAGGACCAATCAGCTCTAGAGCAGAAGCGAAGCAGAAGTCGCGGCGCTGGAAACAAGCGGGCACATTAGAAAGCATTGTTACTCTTAGGCGAACCACTTGTTGATCTTAAGGCGAATTCTAGGGTGCAACAGGCGACTAGGTGCTATTGTATTAGCAACTTTCTGGATGGCGGAGCCAGCGGCAAGTGGAATGTTAATCCTGACACCTAGCCGGAAGCTTCGTGACTTAGCCGGCTTCCGTGGATTTCCCTTTATTTTGATACCAGCCCTGTCACGGTGCGCGTCTCCTCTCCTCCATTATCCCGTCTCCCCCGCGGTCCAATAGATTACACTGTTCCGTCTCTGGCTGCGTTGTTGCTTCTCGTAAATATTTCTTCGGTTGCTTGGAATCAGCGATCGCGATCCAAAGATATTTTTGGCACTCGTATTTGTTTGCGAGGTAACAAAGCGCGAGAACCGGGCTCGCTCAGGGGAGAATTCGCTGAAAAACAGCGTCGTTCCGAGAAGGGGGAGACAAAGGATGAATGGATCTGCGTATCTTCGAAGATCAGAAAAGCGACGTCGGCCAACGGCGAATATCGCGGTCTGCTTTCTTCTTTTACCATTCCCAGCGTTTCCCTCCGAGGTTGGGGAAATTCTTTTTTAGGAGAAAGCAGGCGCAAAGTCCAAGCAGTCGCTCGGATTCTGGTCGGTGACGCGTCGTCGAAAGACGCAGATGCACGTGGCGCGTTATTATTTTCGCGCCAAGTAATCGAATGGCGTCGCGAGCTGATTCAGCCTTTTCCTTTGTCTGCCCGAATCTCGCCGAAAATTGTGGGCGTCGTTTCAACTCGCTTCGGCCACACGATCCAAATTCCCGCTTACTCGGTGCGTTTGCCCGATCCGCTTGGCCTGGCGCGCCAAGTACACGCGAAACGCGATATTTCTGCTTTATTTTCACGGTCTCTTCGATTCCTGTGCATGCGTTGTTTGTCAACCGAGATGCTCCGCGAGATTCTTTCGAAATCGTGACGAGGAAAACATGCTCGACCGAAAACAAAGGACGCGTTGCTAATTATCGATACTGACGACGCGAGCACCTGCGTGCGCTCGAAAATTCCTCGTCTACCGTCTCGTCGGTTACGTATGTGGTTTCGATTTTCATTTCGCGAGAACACGCGACCATTTTCCCAACGATATTTTCATTACGGCCTGTTTGCTCGAGCCGGAAGCGTAGTTTTACGACAAACACGCGGAATCCGTAGCAACGGGAGTATTCGGTTTATTTCATATTCGCTCATATACGTATACGTACCCAGAGTATTATACGTTAAACTCTATCTCTCTCTATTTCTGTCTCTCTCTCCGTCTCTCCGTCTTTGCACGAAACTTCAAAGCGTCGGCATAAAACAAATCCGAGTCCCTTTCTCTCGGCGGAAGAGGAAAAGGGACGAAGGGAGACGGAAGGAAGGAACGGGGAAGGAAGGAATAAGAAAAAATAGGATCGTCCTTGTTATCGGCGAAACTCCGTTCCCGGTGAAAGAAACTTTCCTCGGAGATTTTCCTCCTTCGCGAAGAACGGAGGAAGTTTAAAAAACGTGCACAAAATGGTGTATTCACACGCGGCGGCACACTGGCGACGACACGCTTATCGATCCATTCATGAACTCGCGGCGAAACCCGATTTCTCTTGCCGCGGAAATACAGGGCACCGTGGGGGGTAGTAGAGAGACAAAACGGAAGGTGAAGTTGCACGATCGGTTCACGAGATACTGAGACACGGATCGGCGTGTGCTACTGGAATCGGTCGGTCCAGGGTATACTGACACTTTTCGACGTCAGTGGCCAGACTTACGCTAGCGAAGCGGGTGCTATACTTAGACGGAGACCTTCGATTTCCGGCGGTACGTTTTCGACGAAAGATTCACGCAAGAAATACAGCGAGACTTTTAGAATTCACGCACGCGTGCGTGTTCGTGGACGGACTCGCGCGTGTTAGAGAAGGATTTCCGACTGAACGACCGCTGGCCACGGAGACGAAAATTCGTTTTCGATTGCGAGACGAAGAGCACGGGCGGCAGAGACGGAGATACCCTCGGCTTCGTGGACGTTCGAGCGAGAGGAGACAAAAGAGACCTTGATGTAAATTTAACGTATCTTTGGAATCGTCTTTCTCGGTGGATCCTTCATTCATTCTTCGTTTCGAAGATCTTCGTTTCTACGCTTTTAAATAAACCGTGGAATTCGAGGGGCACGAGGAGTGGGGAAACTGGGGGGATACGACTCTCGACGATATCGCGGTGACGAGGATGAAAACGTTTCCGATACGATAGGAAGGAAGCTTTCGATTTGGTTCATCAGTCGTTATTAAATTCCCCAGCCGAAGTCGTTGTCAACGGCAGACCAGAATTCCCTGGTCGAATGTCGTTCACTCTAAATTACCCGCGACAATGCCGGATTTGATTTCTAATTTCCAATTGTCCGTTTTGTAACTGGGGATTGACGAGACCGGGGCGTAACGAGCGCCATTTAATAAAGCCTTCTGTTTAACGCCGGCATTAATATGCATTTTGTCGTTGCACCGGAGATCGATGGAAATTCCTATTCAATTTCCCCTCACTGTACCGCATCGAAAATCAATGACGAGCGGTGAAAGTGGACCATCGGCCTGGCCATTGTTACTTTTCCGCTGCTTTAATTATCGTTCCCGATTTAGAAGGCATAGGAATATCCGTGTCTCTTCGTTGCCCCGTGATCTATGATTTATTTATTAACGCGTCAACGCGGTTTGATAAATTTAGACGCATCGTCACCGGCCGAGTGCCTCGAAATCGAATATCTTCGACGCGATCAAATTTTCCAAACGTTTTTCCCCGGATATCCAGTTTCCACGAGCTTCGATCGCAACGCGGAATCTTCGTTTTCCCTTTTTCATGCGTCCCATTGCAGCTCGAGGATCGCAAAACGATCACGCTCGCGTTCCCGTCGTCGCAGAGGTAGATCGTTCCCGACACTGCGGTACAATGGCGAGTTTAACGCTGATTAGAAATTATAAGTCAACCCGTTTATCGCGATTAAAGTTAAAACGATGCAGCGGCATGCACGACGTCAGCCGTGAATCGATATCAATTATATTCAATCTGGCGGCACGCCAAGCACCGAGGCCAATATTAAAGGCTAATCCAGATGATCGGATACAGTTGCGCCAGGGAAATTTTAGGGAATTGCCTTCTAGCAGCTTCGCTTTCCATCCACGTGTACTGTCAATTGAGAAAAACGAAAAATCCTTTCAATATCGATATCCGGATAACGTTTCGAGTAGAGGGGTGATACCTAAACGCTGTCATAACTTTGCCTTTCTATCCGTATTTCTTAACCCATCGCGATTCTCCTCGTCGAGATGTTATCCAACCGGTGTTATCTAATTCGGTATCGTCTCGTGACAAGGGACCAAGTGCTCGCGGAGGAGGTTCCTCCGCGAAAGAACGGGAATCGTAACGCGAGTGGTTTTAGGTAGAACGTTGGTCCTATTTGGACTGGTGTTGTTAGCAGGTGACCGGTTACGAGGTTTCGACGACACAAAAAGTCGCCGTCCAGAAATAGCGGCACTCGTGAGAACGGATTGCCGATCGCGATTCTATGTTCCTATTAGCGTCTAGCATCGGCACGAAAATCCGTGCTAAAGTTAGCCGGCGCGTTTCGGTTCTCCAGCGCTGCGTATTCTCAGGTTGAGCTCTCAGAATAGCCCCGGCAGCGTGCTGCTTTTCTTATCGACCCGAGCTTTTCTCTCGTCGGCAAGACAGCTTTCTATGCGGGAATTTACCAGGTGGCTGTTTTAAGTCGGCAAAACTCGGTCGGAGGCCGTCGGAGTCGATAACTGGGAATTTTCTTTCCCAGCGGTGGCACTCTTGCCACGTTCAACGAAACGGGGGATTAAACGAGCGCTCGTTTAATCGAATCCACCCCTGGCCTTCGAGACCCGTTCATTGCGTCGTCGCGATTTTTCTGCTTATGCTATTTTCTCAAATCTTTCTCTTCGAATCCTCGTCTCATCAGAGTCGAATTAAAATTAAATGAATTAATTATATTAAAATTATCGCGTTAAAATTGCTGGTAACGAGAAGGGTTGAAAAATTTATGGATCGTATAGGATTCCGTTTATCCCGCGACATCGCGATGATAGATGTATCATCGCGCATAAAAAGGTTATCGCGGTGGTAAATTCATAGTGACCGCTGCCTTTTATCCACGTCACGGTTATATTTAATCGCGTCGTGATACGTTTACGAATTCGATCGACGCGTTATACAGGCGTAACGTATTTCCCGTGGAAATGAAAAACGTCGATTCCCGTTTCCCGCTGTTTGTTTCCGTTTGCGCAACGCGGCCTCACCCCCGTCGCCCGTTTGTCGATAAATTTCCGCTGAAACTGGATTTCTTTCTCATTATGTGACCGTGTTTTGTTACCAACATCGATGCCAAGATACGATTATCAGGCTGGAATGAATCGAGCGCGGCCGGTATCTGGCCATTTTCGTCGTCGCGATAACGTGCCGGCCATTATGGATTGTTAAATATTCCTCGTGGCGCGTGGAACGCCGGCGTGAAAAGCCATTGAAACACCGAGGAATCGGAACGGCAGCCGCGCAACCGTTCAACCAGTCTATTTAACGCAACAAAACTATGTCTATTTATCAGCATCGACGAGCCATTGTTCGTCCGCTGTCCGCTGTAACCGGTCTGCCAGTATCGATTTCTCTGGAAAAATAATTCTCCACGCGTCTCGTATTTTCTTGCCCTCTCCAGTTTTCTAATTGACAAATGCCCGAATGTAGTCCCTACCCAGGATAAATCTATATGAATTTTTCCGCTGTCAGTCGCGACGGCTGAAACTTCTTTCGCCACTAGCTTTAGCTCTCTTCCTTTTCGCCTTCTCCCCAGCGTATTCCCTCCACCCTCTTTACTTTCCCGTTCTTCCTCCCTTTTATTCCTCTCTCCACTCGTTGCCTCGCGGCCGCCCTAAACTTCCCTGATCCTCGCGTCGTCCCTCTTCCGCTGTCGTATACACCGCCTAGTCGATAACGTTTCTCG